CCACACCCCACTTCACCTTCGAGCCCCCACCCCCCATCATCAGCCCCATGACAAGACATCTAGATACGCCACTAACTTACATGGCGAGATGAATGAAAATACTCAATCGATGTGCCACCAAATCGTAACCAGCCCTCACGATGTCACCGGGGACGTAACTGCCTAAAAATATTTTTTGCAGTGAAGGGACGCTATCAATAAACAATCAACAAACTACCGGGTTTCTGGATTGATTTGCAAGGTACTACATGGCTCAACTATTTTTTACTTAGGGGTTAATTGGTAAAGGTCCCACACAAATCATACGACGTCACTGACAACACCGGGGACGGCAACTCGATTTTGAGATTAATTTTCTGAATAAAGTTATACTAAATAACTTTTAATGACGACCTATTGTCTTGAGTTGTCTTTGTTGGTCATTCAACTGTCATTTTATCTATTTTCTCGGTGATATTACTATTCTCAATAATCTATAAAACACCCACATAACAACGTCACGTTAGATCGATCGGTGGGGACGCCGGTAGGGTCAATTTTCGTCGAAGGTATCAAGATGATAAACAGTTTCATTAGACTAAATTTTTGCTTATGTTAACCACATGCTTACCTAAGATTATGCTGACACTGGTTTCAAATCACGGTCAAGTAGTTAAAAATCACCTTATTTTGCGAATTAGCGCCCCTCAGCTGATCATCAAGCCCCCCCTCCCCCCTCCTCATCAAGCACCCCCCCCCCACTCCATTAGCCCTCCCCCTCCTATTTCAAGACATTTAGATACGCCACTGCGGTGGAAGCCACGGATATTTGATGAATTATGGCGAATTTTTATTACTTATTTGATAGGCATCGAGTTACTATAATATGACTTCATGTAGGCTATGTTTTCTAATGTCAAAATCTGCTTCCAAAACCAAAACATTTTGAGTATAACAAGAAACAAAGAGTTTGCAATGTAACCATCTATTTTACTTTCAAATCCTCCTTCTTCATAGTGAAATTCTACATTTTGGAAATTTTGCAAGAAATCTGTTGCTTCCCCTATCGCGATGTATTCCAAGCATCATGAGGCAATCCAAACGAGCATTTGTCATAACAGAACGCAAATTAATTTTAATTAGTCTCATTGAACTATAATAATAATAAAAATAATAATAATAATAATAATAATAATAATAATAATAATAATAATTATTATTATTATTATTATTTCTATTATTTTCACTATCATGCAAACAACGGAGTCAGATAGTAGTATACATGCTGTTATTATTATTATTATTATTATTATTATTATTATTATTATTATTATTATTATTATTTATTATTATTTCGTGTTCGTGTGCATTACATATAATGAGTTTGAAGTCCAAGCATTATATACATATAATGTTTTTGCGACAGCTATTATTTATATATAATGAAATGTAAAAGCAGTTATTTATAAATAATGAGTTTGAAGTCAATTCGTTATTTATATATAATGAAATCAGTAAACTTATATATAAGTAATTGTAAGTTATTTTTTATTATTTATATATAATGATTTGTTACCTTTTCATTATTTATATATAATGGAATCAGTGAACTTATTATATATAAATAATTGTAAGTTATTTTTCATTATTTATACATAATGATGTGTTACCCCTTCCTTATTTATATATAATGAAACCAATAACCTTATTATATATAAATAATGTTTGGTTAGCCTTTCATTATTTATATATAATGTAATCAGTAAACTAATTATAAAATAATAAAACGTTAACGCAATTATTTACATATAATCTTTAAAAGTAAATGCATTATATATAAATAATGGGTGATCTATTCAATTATATGTTAAATGATGAATTATATATAAACAATTGTGTTAAATAATAAATTTACACTTGGAGCCTCATATTAAATTGGCTATTTTGACGCCACCACACGGTTGTCACAATAGCAAATTTAAGCGTTGTATTGTAGGGTATGCTCCGACTCGCATTGACTCAATTTTAATTTCAATTTAATGGATATCACTTTCGTAACAGTGGCACACGTTGGACAATACCCACCAGTGCACCCAAATATAAGAAAAATATACTTAAACTAGGAGTAAATTAAACTAAAAGGAAACAACCAATTTTAAAATATGTGGTGCCCCCCCCCCCCCACGATCTGCGCCCGTGCATGACGACCAACCTCATTTGAAATTTCGAATTCCCTGTCAGGGGCTGGGGATGATAATTCAATATTGGTGCAGTCTCCGAGGAGCACGAAATCACTGCGCGACCAAATTGACTTAATAAATAAAAGTGTTTCTGACCCAGTAGTGGCTCCAGAAATTTGCTAACAGGGGTCCGGCAAGGGACCGAACAAAGGGGCCGACTGAGCCATGGCCACGATCCAGGAATAAAATCCCTAGAGGGTTCATGGGAAGAGTTTTTAAGGATTAGTATGGGCAAAAATTGTGCTTTTAGACAACGGTAGGCCGTATTAGGAATTAGCAATCAAAACAACGTTAATTGGATGAAAATTAATGTTTTTGATAAGTAGGTCTAGGAAAGATTCCTCACACCGCCCCACTCAACTCCCCCAGCGGCGCTGCCACTGTTTTTACTCTTTCCCTCATTCATGCTTTATTTTCACAAGCAGATCCATCAAACACATTACATGCACGAACGTTGTAAATTCCATTTTAATGTTCTTCAGCATGTTTTTAATTTGTTTTTTTATACAGGCTATTAGTGGTTTAGAGAGAATTCACTCTGGTGTCGGACTACTCCATTTTTCTCTCTCGCCCTTTCGTAAACTCGCCGTAAGCCTATGTCAGAATACAGAACACAATGTTTCAGCAATGTTTGCAGTTAATTAGATATAAATCACATTCGCATTTAGGCCTATGGTTGTACAATTAAAAAAAAAATCCTTTTAAACCAAACTCAGTGTTATTATAACGTAAAATATTGTATTCTCTCTATTCGCCTCCTGCTTCGATTTTATTTGGCGTTTTCTAAATAACAGGTCAATCATCTACCGTAAAGGTATAATGATATAAAAATAATCAAATAATAATTATATAAATACATGAAAGCCTATACTCCATAACATCCGGCACACGATACTGGTTACCTTATCCTTGGCACGTAGGCCTATTCATTCCGGGGTATTTGGGTGCGAATCAGTCGTAGAGATTCCCTCGGTCTCGATTAAAATAAGACCTTAAAACATCTCAAACATGGGAGGGAGAACACTGCGCACAAGGGGCTCATCAGAGAGGGGGAGAGAGAGTGATAACCCCATCAAGTTATACACAACTCCAACCACCCAAAACTTGTTACAGGGCTTACCCCACTTCGCCCTGTATATTGTCTTCATTGGCAGATTCAAGATTTTGATTTGGCCTGGGGCGGAAGGGGAAATTCTGGGACGTAGCCTACGATTTAACAGAAAGGGCTTTTTAGGTGTTCCGTTACCTTGTGGGGTCCACATGCCCCGTGGAAGTCTCTGGGCGTTTTAACCTCTTTAATCCCTTAAATTATTGTATTTTATACTTGGTTATTGATATTTTGGCTGATGTCGAGGGGCCAGCGCCCACTGCCACCACTGAATCCAACACTGACCTTCATAATATTGTACCATGTTTTTATAAAATTACGTTTTTTGGGCTTATGGTTGCTTTGATATAATCGTTTGAACGTATGTAATCGAATTATAGCTGCTGTAAGATGTCAGAATGTATTGTTCACCGCCCTCAGCGTTCGTCAAGTGTCGCCGATCAATCGAACTTTCTTCCAGCTCCATGATCGGCTGTGGTATTTTACTATTATCGGATGTAGGCGAAAATTTTTATTATTGTTGTTTCGACTCTGAAATTTTCTCATGACTTGATTTCGTAACGAAAACTAATTTACTGCGTTCCACTTCCGATTTTTTGTTTATTTTCCTGTTAGCTGATTATTGATTGTATTCAGTGGTAAACCACAAATCGATACCGATTGATTTGGGGATTTCACACCATCGTTTCCTGTGTTGATCAATACTGATTGTGAATTTTACTGGTATTTGTTGAGTCCGGACGTAAACAAAGATGATATTGGTCTGGCTTGCTCATGATAATTGCGACTACTAAAGCTTTGTCTACGCTATATCAAATTTTATGTGCCAAATGTAATGTACCTATATATGGGTACAATGACGTCATATCACATATTATCAAATTATATAAAAAAAAAGTTGAACGTGTTCAACTCTATGTTCCATCACATTTTATGTGACGCTTTTTTTTTAATGAAAAAATTGATAGGATAGACAAAGCTTAAAGCCCTGTCCAGACTATCAAATTTGATTTGACAAAAACATGTGACATGCCTAAATATGGTCATGATGACATCACATAATCACCATATATAGGCATATCATGAATATATATGGGCATACATCAGTTTTTTTTCAAAGAACATCCTTGGTAGTTTTAACAGGCATAGGCCTATATTTTGTATATCACCCTGGTTTGAAAGTGGATATACTGTAATGCAAGCGCAGGCTATACAAAGCCTCTGGTTGCAATAGGACCTTACGTCGTTTTCATATGAATTATGAAAACAATGCATTTTTTTTGCTTTATGTGTTTGCTTTTTTTTTGAGTTGGTTTTTGCTGTGTTTCTTTCTTTCCTTTACTTCTGATTGGCAATTTTGAAAGTCAAAATGGTTGTGTTTAAGAGCCCAGGAATAACACTATAGACGGGAAAGTAGAGGGAAAAAGTTTGAATACTTAGCACATATGGCCTAGGCTTATATAACATGACCTAGTTTTCAAGTTTAATTATTCACAAATTAGGTTAATGTAGCATTGACGCAGGTTTAAAAAAATAAATGAAAAATGAGAGGGAAACACAGCATGATTCAGTCTCTAATCGGTAATCACGTTTTGAGTCTGCGGCGGCGCGGCCTGCGGCACACACACACACCTCAACCTGCACAACCTCCAAACACGAGTTCCTTATCAATTCTTAAGTTTAACAAGGATAGGAAAAGGGGCGTATCATCACTCACTATTCGACCAATCAGCAATCGACTGACCAAGATTCGCCTTCGGACAGCCCGCATTGGTTCGATGTTACTGAAGTGGCAACTTTATAATCTTCTATTTTTTTTTCGAATGAAACCGTCGTTCATTCATTCTCATGTTTGTCATTATATTCTCTGACAGGATTCGAGTTTACATGCCTTTATTATGCCACTGATGACCTAACGACAACGCAGTGATTCTTGTTCCTATGGGTCGAATGGCAACCCCAACGCTGTGTTTTCTTGACCTTTTCACGAAATCGCCACTGTGAGGGTCTCAAGTCGGCGGCGTCGACGTGCTTGCTAACAGCTTTTGCTATTGCTCAAAAGTACATGGTATATTTTCAGGCAAACCGGAACAGTTCATATCGTGACTATTCATCTATCTGGGATGAATTCGTGACGCTGTCATCATCAGCCCAGTTGGAGAGAGCAACATTGCTCGCTCTCCAGAAGTGCGTTGAACTAGGGACATCGCCGAACACGTAATCACAAAAAAGAAATCGAACGCGACCGAAATCACTTATTATCACGATCAGGCTCCCTCCTGAACAGTCAAACTCCACAACAATTATAAAATAAACCCTAAATGGATATACATATTTTCTTGACGGTTGTTCTTCCCGTTATTTTGTTATTTACATGGTACTACCTGAGCTCGAAGTTGCACCAAGGAATGCCACCTGGACCAGTCGGCCTCCCTATTGTCGGCTATCTACCGTTCCTCGGTCTGAAACCTTACAAAACGTTTGCAAAACTTGTGAAGAAATATGGTCCTATTTACAGTGTGAAGATGGGTTCTCGGAAAGTAGTAGTGCTAAACGGATGTCAGGTCATAAGAGAGGCTTTCGTCAAAAAAGGCCGGCAATTTGCCGGTCGCCCCCATTGGATGCTTAGTAAATTAAACGGTGGTCGAGGTAAGTTTACATTTTATACACATGCAGTTGAACATAATTTTTTCAAAAATTTTATTTGTTAACATTGTTGCAATATATACAAATTTTTGTCATCGCAGCAGAAGCGAGCCTTTAGGTGCCTGCGGCGCCGCATAAGACCCCTGGTAAGGGGGTGGGGGTGGGGGTCCGAAACCTTTGCGCCCTTGTCTACGGGCCTGTTTGATCCCATTCCCATCCCTCTCCCAGATGATCACTCTTAATAATCATGCTTTTTTCTTCATGGACGGAAATACAGAGCTTTCGTGTACACGTGCAATTTTATGTCGAAAGTGGCACACACCTGCCAATGCGTTAGTAATCGTAAATGTAGGCTAGGCCTATCTTCCATTGATTGTTTTACGATTATGTCTTATCTTGCATTTATTTTTCATTATTTACTTAATTTGATCATCGGCCATAAACAAACCAAGGATTAAACAAACAACTTAATCATTTGACAATGATTGATCAGGGACATTTAAACTTAAATAATCAACTACAATATGCACGTACAATGAGCTGTTCTTTGTTGAAATTTTGTTGTCAATCTGTTATTGGTTATAAACTTACCATTGTTTTGTTAATATAATTGGCAATTTTTTGGTTTATTCGGCCTATTTTATGACATTTTTATCTTATTTTAAAAAATCTTTTTGAGGCAGTCCTAGTGGCGAGTTTTTGAATATCGCCACTGACTCTTTAATATTCTTCCAAGCTCTGGTTCATGTTTTGCCTGTTAAGTTTAAATGTTATTAGCCTATTCATTTTTGGAGAGTCAAATGGCCGAGCGGTTAGCAGAAGCGCAACCTACAGCCATAATATCGGCACTGGTTCGAACGACACGCTCGCCATGTCTCTGATTGTAGAAAAAGCCGCCTCAGTATATATAAATAATTATATATATATATATATATCTATATATATAATTATATATACCGTAATATATACACGATAAAAGCAGTGCTCAAGATAAAAGTGGTGTTACCGTACCGTAATTTATAATAACATAAACGTTTTCGGGCCCGTTAACGCAACTAGAGTATTATTCTTATTATTCTTATTATTATTATTCGTATTCTTATTCTTATTCTTATTCTTATTATTCTTATTCTTATTATTATATAGGCCTTTCGTATTTTTGCATCGTTTTATTATATATGTCAGGAGCGGATCCAGAAATGTTCGAAAGGGGAGGGGGGAGGAGGGTGAAAGTGGGCCGATCGAGACAACACCACCCAGGGGTCCGGGGCATTCCCCCGCAAAATTTATGTTTTCTAGACGCCTGAAAATAACCTCGGAGGCGTTTTTGGCAATCAATTATTTCTTTTTCTTTCCTTTTTTTGTATTTTCCAAAAAGGAATGGGGGAGGGGAAGTGGGGCCGACCCGGCTCCCCCTAAATCCTCCCCTGTATGTAGTAGATATTAGGCCTATATATACAGAGTAGTCGGGCGTCGCTCAAAATCGCTCGGAAGTGGTCCAGGGGGTGAATCCCCCGGAAGCTATGACATTTGAGGGATTTCACGGGCTTATTTAATCGATGTTAGAGTCTATTAATTATTACGTAAAAATCACTTTAATTTTTTTGTTTTCTGCACGACGAATTGTGCAGAAAATTGTGTCCGAAAGGTGTCCCCTTAATAGGCCTATTTATTTTAAATAGGCAATTGTTTTAATTGAAATTTAAAGATGTACTGCATGTCATGAGCTAAAAAAAAAAAAAATAGAAAAATTCAATTCAATATTTGGATTGCCTAATTTGAAGTTATTAACATTTAAATAAAAATTTGAATGAGAAGAGAATTTTCCCGTTAACTTTCACGAGTATTTTTGTAGTAAAAATGCCTGTAAACCAGCGAAAAACTAATTGTTTTCGATCTGTTTCTATCAAATTTTTTATTTGGATTTTCGAGGATTTCCAGATTTTTTAACGGGCAGAACATCTTTAATTTAGAATCTGTCATGATTTCTTGTTGGATAATGTGATCAAACCAAATTGATTATTTAATGAAGATAGAACGTCTGCACGACATTTTCTGAACTTAAAACACAGATCTTAAAGGAAACATATACAGTAGAGCCTTTAAGAAAGCAAACACGTCGATAGAAAAGTAGGCTACATAAAACGCGCGTAAATTACTCATCACTCATCCTTAGATCGTCTGTTTATTAGTTGACGTCATCACGTTGATGTTCACATTGACAATGTTTGTTTGGCGCTCTGGTTCGACCTTGATCGAGACGGTTTAGTATCCGATGACCTTGCCTCTACCAAGATTAATTAACTGTTTGAAAAATCGTTGCTATCAATCATTTTCAACGACGTTAGCCTTCAAGTTGATACAGGTACAGTACTGGATTTTTGGGCAAGTTGATGTACACGAAACAAAACTCAGTTTGATAAATGACTGTCTGTCTCGAGTTGACGTCATTTTATGTTCGACTCAGGTCTGTTACGTGGCCACAAAGTGATTGACTAGAAGCAGCGCATAACCACATTATACAACATCGTTACAGCTTCAGACGTAATTGCGTTGCGTTTGCGCCAAAACGCATCTAGATCACTGTTGTTGAAATTGGGGTGGAGGCCGAAAAGATAGAATGTAGGCTAGACTGGTATTGATCATCCGTTACCATTATTATGAACAGCATAATATAAATTATCCTTATTATATTATCATGTCATATTTATCTTTGATATATTTAAGGTGTTAATTTTATTTTGATTAGGCCTAACTGTACAATGTCATAATATGGCTTATTTTGATTAGGCCTAATTGTGCAATGTCATAATAGGCTTGTTATTTGTTTATGATTACTGCTTTTCCATATTATAAAGGTCATCAATGACTGAGTCAGCTTTTGTTTTAAGGACTGCTACCATAAAAGTTGTGTATCACCCACACCACTCCCACTAACCGTTAGCAGGCGATGGGGGTGGCGTGGGCGTAAGCTCTCAGAAAAAGTTCCCCTCTCACACCCCCCAAAGTGCAAACTTTAAGAACAGTCTCATCCACTAGCTCGGAAATGGCACTCGCAGACTGTACACAATTTGCTCAATGATATTTTCTTTACTGCAGGTATTGCAAACCACCAGCCCACAACCCATTGGCGAGAAATCCGGAAGTTCTCATCTAACATCCTGCGCACATTTGGTGACCGTCACTCGAAGATGGAAGCTAAAATCAACCAGGAGGTGTCATACTTCATGCAAGACTTGCACAAGGCCAGCTCACAACCAGCTGATCTTCGCCATGCTGTTCAGAAAATGGTCAGCAACGTCATTTGTTCAATATGCTTTGGAGAACGATTCCAGTATGGAGATCAGCAGTTCAAAAACCTTATACATCATGTAGACGTGTTCTTTCAGAATATAGATAGCAAAAGTGCAACGAACTTTTTACCCTTTCTCTGGTACTTGCCAATGAAGGCAAACACTGCCGTGGACGACACTTATAAGCTTATTATGCAGTTCGTTGAGGAGAGAATCGAATCACACCTTAAAACTTACGATCCAGAAGAACCTAGAGACTTTATAGATTTATTTATTAAGGCAAACGCAGAGAGCCAACCAAGGGAGAACGGTGGTGTTGAAGAAGTCCAGGCATTGTACAACCTTAACGATCTGAAGTACATTGTAATCGATCTGTTCTTCGGTGGTACAGAGACTGTGATTGCAGCAATTATGTGGAGTTTAGTTTATATGCTGGTATTCCCTGACGTCCAGAGGAAAGTCCAAGATGAACTGGATAATGTGGTTGGCAGGGACAAGAGCGTTACCCTAAGTGATAAAAAGGATCTACCGTACACACAAGCAGTAATTAAGGAGATCCTGCGCATGTGCAATGTTATACCAATGGTTATACCACATGAGACCACGGAAGATATTAGTCTTTGTGGATACAATCTGCCTAAAGGAACGACCATTTTCGGGAATTTATACTCTGTTCACATGGACGAAGATGAGTGGTCTGAACCACATGAATTCAGACCCGAGAGATTCTTGGAACTGGATGGCAAGGGATCGGTAATCAATGATGCTTTTATGCCATACTCTGCTGGTATGTTATCAACTTTTCAAAGTGTGATACATCTTAAAATTTATCAAACTATAAAGTACACTCTAAAAGAGATTATAACATTTAACAAGATTTAATGTCAAAATGGGCTGATTTTGGGATCAAATCTTGCAGATGTACAGATCATGGTAAATAATTCATCATTGAAAACCTCATTTAATTTCTAATTCAAAATGTCAATGAATTGTATGCAATGCACTGCACATGGTAGAGTACAAATCTCTGCTCTCTGTGAGCGCTTGACAATCCATTGTGTCTGGGTTGTTGCAATACGTTCTGTAAGGCTAAGCACTCACTGTCCAACTCTGCTCCTTTCGTTAGACAACGTGAAGCCATCTGGTGGCAGTTATTAAAAAAGGTCTGTTGCGAGCATGTCATTGCGTTGCATTCCCCACAGAATCGTGTCGGCTGACAACCGTTGGGGGGAGTGAGTGCCTGGCTTAGGGAATTGCATCGAACAACGACCATTGGTACAGCATGTGCCAGACTCTTGTAGCCTCCACTGCATGTGTCAAATGAAAGAGTAATAATATGATAGATCTTTTTGATTACTGTGCAATATAAACAACAGAATATAGTATTATTATTGTTTTTTTTTGTTTTTTTTTTCAGGCCGTCGTAATTGCTTGGGAGAACATTTGGCTAAGATGGAAATATTTCTATTTTTCACATCAATATTACAGCAATTTAATTTAGAGGCGGATAAAACAGTTCCAAGCCTGGACGGCAGGCATGGAATTACACACATGCCGCACCAGTTCAAGCTTACAGCGACTGCAAGATGAAAACACATTTCTAATCTTAAGATATTTTCACGATCGATTATATTGTCTGCACTTGTCAGTGGTGGAATATACTGTAAATGCAGAGTGCAGTTGAATCCAGTCCCAGGGTCCTGGGTTCAATTCCTGTCAGTGTTGTAGGATTTTTTTCTCACAACCAAAACAATTCCACTCCCTAAACCTCATTGAGATTTAGTTTGTGTAATGCATCGTGTGTGTTTGTTTGTCTTGTGTAAGGGATTATCACCTACAAGTAAGATAGCGATATTGACAATCCTTGGTGCATGTGTTGTGCGCCTAAAATGAATAATAATAATATTATAAATAACAATAACATTTGTTGCGGAAGACCAATGCAAACTCTCTTGGACATCAACATAGCTACTACCAGTCTGCGGCCATTAATGGTTAAATGAGGATCATCAGCGAACTTTGCATAGGAACTACCTTCCTGCAGAAACTGCCACTGAACTACAACAATTAACAGTCAACAGAGTTCCAACAACTTTCACCAAATCACCAAAAAATTAGATTATATTTATAGTATATGCGCAAGCTCTAGATGTACACGCAGTCTTGATAAACATGATGCATATTTCGCTTGTTGTGGGCTATAACTGACTGTCAGCAACGATTGCATTGCTTGTCGATAATGTATTAGCATATATTCAAATAAACACCCTAAGGCGTTTATTGTTGAGAAAGGTTTTCGAGTGTAAACTTAATCAGGAGGAATTTTTTGGTGCAAAAAAGGGTACATATATACCCGAATAAACATGTAATTACCATAAAATGTGTTATTGCATTAAGACTTGATCACAACCAGGTTAGAAAAAATGTAACTCTACTGGAGTAGAATATATTAATAGAATGTGTTCACAATGATGTTGCTTCCATTAGATTTTTTTACAGTTATTTAGGGGAAGGGGGCCTGTTTATTCTAGGAAAAAATAAACGCCCCGGGGCGTTTATTCAAAGTGAAGCATTTATTCAAATAAATAAGGTACTTATCATGACATTATAAAAATTAAACTCTCTGATTAAATGAAGAAGCATGAAATAATATTCTTCAATCTACAATTAGTTCATGTAAAAAAAAAAGGAAATTTTTGTAAAATATCCTCAGCAATTAAGGAGATTTTGGTGGAGGAAACCTCTTCCATAGGGAGTTTTGGATTGCACGATGACAGTAGGACCTAAAACGTCATCACATCACTATGAATTCATTTGCACATGAGAGAATGTTAAGTTCTCGTTGTCGCTTGGATACAATTTTACCCGATTTTATGTTGTGCTGAGAACTTAGGAGGGCCACGCATGAGTGAATCCGTTCTAGCGTGATGCCGTTGCACAAACTGAAAGTTCCCTATTAAAGGAACTCAATATTTTATTTTCACATGCCCTAATTTTGCACAATTCAATAAATAAACGTATTTCATATACAGTATTAAATGCATTGTCTCCTGATTAGAGTAGAATTTAATCAAATATAAACACATATTGACACTTGTCATTAAAATAAAAAAGGCAAGATATATTTTAAATATCTAAATATTTACATAACTACAGGAATAATAATGTATAAAAATAGTATTTATCTAATAATACAATGTTTAAATGTTGCTGTTAAAATTATACTATGTTAACATGAACAATGTAATTAAATATTTGAATTGTTTATGTTATATACTAAAATTATAAAGAAATATTTTCCCTGTCAAAGTAACAAATTTCAGAGGGTGGGAAGAAAATTGTTTTCTCATTTTCCCAAATGGTCCTGCCAAATACATCTAAACAGAAAATATAAATAAAATATCTATTTGATTAATTTTCCAATAAAATTAAATATTTTATTTGATACAATTTTTGCTTACTTTAGTAAAAAGTCTGTAAGACAAGATTTTATTTTATAGCGAACCTGCCGACTGCCAATAATGGTGATTTCAAATAAAAATACAATTTTATTTTTGGGCAGCTAGTGCCACAAAAATGGAAATTATGTGTTATTATAATGCCCTCCACTTCCATGAAATATCCAAAAAAAAAAGATATATATATTTCTTTCTTAACTATACACATTTAAAGCATTTATCAATCTCATTACTACACATTAATTTCATTTTTATTCTCTCTTGCTTTTGGCAAAATCATTTTGCTAAATAAGAAAACAAAATTATATTTCATTTTTTTTCTGCCCTACTCTGACGATCTTTAAAAAAACAAGTTTGTTAAACCATACAGAAAATAGTGTTCTATTTTCTCTATAGTGGAAAAAGGTATTATAAAAGTCTTGCCTAACTCCTAAATTGACATAAATTTGATTTCTGAGCGCCAGTGCAAACAGCACACATAAAAAATATTGTTGGACTCTAGACTGACATGCATCACTAATATTTTAACATTTCTGGAATTAGTATTCCATATAAATAAAAAAAATAAGTAGTTAATTATATTCATTAATATTTAATTTCTTATTTTGATGTAGCAGGCAATATAAGAAATAGCTTGCATAATGAGAGGAATATATTTAATTTTTCACAACAAAATTTGTTACGTTGGACCCTGTAAAATTGAGGTAATATGTTGGAACTAGTTGGAATTATGACAAGAATGGATTTTCATCAGTCTCATTATTCTCTTGTTTTATTAGTAGACTGATATAGCCTACTTTCATCTTCTTATGATTTTTATACCAGTAGTCATAACTACTAAATTTCTAATTCCACTTCTATACATTCTTATAAAGGCATATCTTGACTTCTAGATATATGAACAATAGTTAAAATTGTTGTATTATTTTTTATAAATTATCACATTTTGGTGTTTAGTGCATAATTATCATAATGTGGTAGGAGATGACATATAGTAGGCCTCTCTGGGGGGATGCAGAAGGTGGGATCACACCCCCCAAATTGTATTAAGAAAATTAATTGTATTGTATTTTTGATATGTGATTTTTAAGGTATGACAGTGCAATTTCCGGGGGACCTAGAGGTACGGTATATTCTCAAAATTTTCTTGGTGTGGACTTTCACGCACCCCCTACCACCAAATCCAGCATCTGCCCCAGCCTTTGATCATCCTATTCTCCATTTTTCCCAGTATGGTACAATGAAACGTGAAGTGGAGAACCATAACTAAATAACCACAGTTGTACTCTGAAATCCAACCAGAATTGGCCTTTCCAGAGTCTTAAACTTAACTGACCAATCAGAACAAGGCCAGGAACCTTAGCAACAATATCCAAGGGGCGGGGCTTAATGTTAAAGTCCATTCTTTATTTAGCTTAAAACAGCAGCACAGTTCAGTTTGTTAAACTAGTGGTAGCTACTGTGTGTGCAGTGAACCATGAAGACCTTCAGACCTTTGGCCCCTGGTTCGATCCCATCGCTGCTCTCCTTTTATATTAGCTGCAGTGCTGAAATGCAAGTTATAATAGCACACCATCTTTCGGAAGAGACATTTATGTAATTGGTCACACGTACAATGTGTATGTTATACAAGGCAGTATACTCCTTGAAAAAGAGAAGAGGATTGTCTACCAGTGTACTGTGCAACTCACCACCAGAAGAATCCGTGCCAGAAGGACCATGCTGGAAATAATCCTTTGGGTTTTTGTGAGTTATCCTTGGGTACAGTACGTTTCATAACCAAAGAAATCCAATCCAATCAGGCTAAAGTACCGGAGTTCTCCATCCATCTGATATGGGATTGACCAGTGCCTTTTACATTGTTTCATACCATTCCAAAATGAACAACATGAAGGGTGGCTGCCACATTCTCCTCTGCTTTTTCGTCCTGTCTCTGACCTGTCCCATCCCCAGCTGCCTTATCACCTGAAGAATCTGAAATAAATTCAGAAATAATGTGGAAAAGGAAATCTTTCATTCTCATTAATTTTACTAGAAGAGCTTTTTACCATTCTTTCACATTCTTTTAAATGTTGTTTATCATTTATTGAGCAAAAATGTATACACTAAAATAATCATACAATATGCTACAAATACTTTACAAATAATTAAATACAAATACTATCAAGCATATTTACTTATTAAATAATAAACATTAAATAATAAGTATATTAATTGTAAACCATAACAATAAAATAACAATAAATTTATAATATAATATTAATACAGTAATATAAATATAAGAACAACACTGATAATAGCAAAAACCAATAATAATAACAATAGTAACAGCAAACAACAAAATGATTTTAAAATAATAAAAAAATAATTATAATGTATTGCTGCTAATATTATTCTCGAAAAAGATCTCAAATTGCTTAACACTACACTCTTCGCAAATGGACGATTGGCTTAAAAGTACAGTAGAAGCGGAAAAATCAAACGAGGACTAGAAGAAGATTTCTCTTCCATGAGTGGCTCCTTGTATGGATTTACTGAAGTGACAATTTGGTGCTTTATCCACTTGGCCCACAGCTGTTTATCATCACGTAGTTATGAATTATTATTAATTTTGTGAACCAATGCAAGAGAATCGTAATCTGTATTGCGATTTGTAATAACAAGGATAAAACTTTAATTCAGTCAATAATTGTTTTAAATATTTTTTTAAATATAAAAAAAAAATGAAGAGTGATAAAAGTCATCCCAAGAGGGACTTAAACTCATCTGTTGTCTATTCACATTGTTAGCAAACTACAGGTGGGATGGGGAGGGGAGGTGGGGGGGTCATTTTACACTCTTTGTATATGTGTTCAGGGGTGAATTCAAGAAGCCCAGCCAGCCCAAGCCATCACCACACTGGGAAAACAATTACATTAAAGTCTATGAGTAAATGTCAATACAAGAATATTTTGTACCCATTTCCATTAGCATGCTTCCAGTTAAGTGATGGCTGAGTTGTGTCATGTAATTTGTTATTGGTTATTGTAAAAGGGGTGTATAATAGCACAAAATATAGCACCTACAGCTTTTGTTTTTACTCCTGAGTTAATCAATCAATCACAATCAATCAAGAATTTGTATAGCGCCAATATCCACAACAAAATGCAATGCTCAATGGTGCTATAACAATGGTATTACTCAAAGTGCACATTTACTGCGATTTTAACTTTTTCTTAAAGATATTGACAAAAGATGAGTTTTTGATCTTAAGAGGTAGGGCATTCGATAATGTAGGGGTGGTACATGTGAACAGGGGCGGATCCAGAGATGTCCGAAAAGGTGGGGGGGGGAACCAAAAGGAAGCCGATTGAAAAAATACTATAAGGTAGGGGTCTGGAGTCATGCTCCCGCAAACATTTGGTGTTCTATATGCCAGAAAATAACCTCTGAGGCGCTTTGGGCGATAAATCTTTTCTTTCTTTCTTTTGTTTTTTGTTTTTGCTTTCCAAATGGGGGGGGGGGGGGCTGGGGCTGCTCCACCTTAAATCTGCCCCCTGCATGTAAAAGTATGTTTACCTAGGTTTTTATATCTCCACCTGCCTTACTCATGAAGATGCTTGTTGGTATGCCAATAGGTGTATGGTATGACTGGTGAAAAATCAAAGTTGGACTGTACATTTTTATTAAAATACTTTACTATCATTATGTCAATTTAAGAGTTTATTATGTAAATGAATTTCCTTTCTATTTTCTCAAATACTGTAATTTACAATCTAGAAAATTAGAAAACTGTTTTTAAGAAAAAAAAAATTAGTATATAACTTCATATATATCTTCACAATAAAAGATATAGAATTATAATATAAAGCTTTGTTACATGGCCCTTTCAAGTAGGAAATGTAAGCTCATTTAAAGATGTACTATCAGTAATGAGGTAAAAAAAAAATTCAATGTATTCTTTTGCATAGATCCATAGATCATAGATGGTAATTAAAAAGGATTTTTGTAGTAAAATGTCTGTAAATTGGTAAAAAAATTACTTTTTTTTAAACATGTTTTTAGTTGTAAGATAATAATTCTTTATAATCCTTGCATATGAGCTATTCAAAATTATATTTGAATTTTTCAGGTATTTTCCTACCTTTTTGACTGATAGTACATCTTTAAAAGTAGAAATTGAACTTAGAGACATTACCTAGGCCTAAGTAGTGAATTCCAAAGTTTGGGTCCATGGTAAAAAGGAATTTTGTCTACTGTTTAATTACAGAAACAAAATCTGAACATCAAACATTCTTTTAAATCAGCTATTTATCGAATTCTTTGTAATTGGCAGGAGCCAAGAGCAAATAATTATAGACACACACCTTAAACACACCTGCAGATTACCAAGATAATTACCCTATAAACCCAACACCCTGGGTTGTTTGTACCAAGGCAGTAGTTTATTTATGGTTGGTGGACCACATGAAGGGGTCTGTGTGTGTGTTAGCTAACAACCCTCTAGCAAGAATAAAAGTGCACCTGAAACAAAGTGGTGCCACAAGCATGGATAATAATAGCAGACTGTTGAATAAACTGAAGGGTATGCAAGGGGCATGTGTGTAACCTCCCAGTAGGATATTGGGGGAAGAGGTATAATTAGGATCAGGGCGAAGGCAAATTTCCAAAAGTAAATGCGAATTAGTGCACATATTTCATGTTTTTTTCTCCTCAAAGTGATTTTCCTTATTCAAGCGCCACCATGAGGAAGAATGTTCATCGATGCAACATACGCTGTCCATTGCATCCTTGACAAACTACTGAAAGACGATTGGCTACCACGGTAAACCAACCATGCATAAATTCTAAGCAGCTAAGGCGATGCGATGAACGTAAAGGTAGTGCGAGTTATTGTAAATATGCTAAACATAAACTAATGATAATAGAAAAACTAATAATAGCTAATGTAATAATCAGGTTTCCTATTTGAAAAATGTTGTGGCAACTCGAAAAATAAAAGATATTTAAACTCAAAAAGCGAATTAAAACAGAGAAGAGAAAAAAAACCCCCATTTATTGGGGTTATTATACCTAAGGTTGCGGTTTATACTTTGCTTTTGAGAAAAAAAAAACACAGAACTGTCTGTGGTAAAATCAAGAAAATTAGGTTTTGGTGTTTTACAATGAACCGGCAAAGATGAATGTATTAGCACAATTGAATTATAACTACAAATTCCAGTGTAATAGAAAAGCTTCAATGCTTTTGCAATATATACGTTCTATATATCGATGATAATTTATGATTTTCAGTCTTTATATTCTTGATATAAATAAAACAACATTGATGTATTTGTTGTCTATTTCCATACTCTGTCTGAAGAAAAGTACAATGTACTTTATGGATTTTCCCCCGGGCATCGTATCCGGTTTGTCGTACCCCAGATATGTCACAAAATATCCAATATATAGGTTAACAGATGTAGTGATGGATCTAATTTAGCATCAAAGCATAGCTTCTATTGAAAGAAAATCATTCCTATATTAAAATCCAGAGTATTTCTTCAAAAATTACATTAAAGCATTGAATGGTACTAAAGATCATATAAGTTACCAATTTGATCAATAAGAAAGTTAGAATAATTTAATTTTTCACTGATATTCATACTTTTTGTAGAAGAACTTGACTACCATTCATGGCTGAAGAAAAAAAATATTATTATTTACCATATGGTTGTTAATTTGTGGAAAAACGTTCCTGTTCTAATATTCAACTGTAAACTACAGTATTAGCTTATCCTCTGCCTCTAATTATAGACCACTCCAATTGAAGACCACTTTTCTGTAGTTCCATATAAACAAATGTCTACTATATTTATTATTAATTACTGGAGTTAAGAAGCCAAGCTGCTAAAGACCATAGAACCCATAGCCCTAAATGTGGTCTTTAATTCGAGGGAGATCTGTATGATATGAGGTTTCTCATTCATTGAAAAGATTGTGATTTTTTTTTTATAAATCATTTATTAGGTTTTCATAAGAAAATCTTTTGTTCAACCTATTTGAGAATACAATAGTCTCTCTGAGAGTGAGACTATAGTCTCTTCTCTGCCATGACCTAATTTCACTCCCCTAGGGTGATGACCTTGTCTTCTGTCTGTCTTTGTGATTGATCATCTTTTCCCCTTCATCTAACACTTCAGATTATCCGCAAACACGAAATCGTTTATCATACCCGAATAACATTCATGTGAATATAATCAAGTGTTTTTTTACATTCTAAATATTAAATCTCTCCACCAATAAAACATCTTAAACACTTTACAGCTAAATGCCAAATACCGCAATGAGGCCAGGAATTCAAGAGCAACAAGTGTAGAGATGAAATACGGCTGAGAGCTGCTCTCTTTTGAGGCCAGGCCGCTGTTATGGACTCTCAAAAGTGTTACCATCAAGGGCAAAATACTAGAGAAAGATTAACTTAAAACCTGAAGGACTAGCCAATGGAATTTGAGTAATATGACAACTAGTGTTTGTGATATTGACATTTGGAAAGGCTTCTTTGATAGATTACTATATATTATCCAACCTTTATCAATGATCCTTTTTTAATACTTAATTTATTGCCATAAGAAAAATGTGATGCATGTCAACAAACATGATTTTCCAGTCATGAAGCTCCTCAATGAAATGTAAAGTATTCAATAGGATATAAATTTACCGGACTATCATGAGCAATGTCAAAAAACCATATTTATAAAATAAATTTACATTAAACTTACTTATAATATAAAAAAAAATGTATTTAGTATTTTTTTTTAATTTCCTTTACACACAGTACACCAAATAGCAGGTACACTTGCCATTTACAAGATGGAATGATGCTTTATAAACTAAGTCTCTTTTTGAGTCCAAGGGAGTTGAGTTGTTTTTAGTTGTGGAAAACTTTTCTGCTGAGACAAGATTTGAACACAGGACCCTGGGATTAGAAGGCAGGCACCTTAACCACTAAGCCA